ACACACACACACACACACACACACAGAGTCTCTCCCTTTTGGGGGGGGGTCGTCCTGGCGTGGATCTCCCGCCAGCCCCCTCCCCTCCCAACTGTCTCCTTCCTCTCCCCACCCAGGCCGAGATGGAGGTGCCCATCCCCAGGTACTTCGTGAAGGAGCGGGCCAAGGTGCTCCAAGAACGTCAGGAAGTGCTGGCGGGTCTCCTGGCCCGCATGGTGCCCACCAAGGCCGTCCCCGTGAGTGTGCCCGGGCCATCCCCCCCACCCACCCCCGGCTTGGCCGTCCTCGCCCCCCCCTCGGCTGAGCATCCCCTCCTCTCTCCCCTCCCCCCACCCAGACCCCCCACTCGCTGATCCTGCGGGACGAGGCGGTGCGCCTGATCCAGATGGCCGAGAGGATGCGCCAGGGCCGCCTCCGGGCCCACTTCATGGCCGAGATCCGGCGGGACGAGGAGCGCGAGCGGAGGAGGGTGAGGGAGGGTGAGGCCGAGCCCAACCGGGACCTGGCTGCCATCTGCATCCAGAAGGTAAGGGGGCCGTTCCGGGCCTTTTCTGCTGTGCCCCCCCCTCGCAACTCCCTCGTATGGCATTGCCTCTCCACCCCACCCCACTCCCCAATTGCCCCATTGCTTCTATCCTTCCGAAGGGCCCTCAAAGCACGGAAGAATAGAATAGAATAGAATAGAATAGAATAGAATAGAATAGAATAGAATAGAATAGAATAGAATAGAATAATAGAATAAAACATAAAATGAATAGAATAGAACAGAACAGAATAGAAATACAGAATAAAAATACAGAATAGAAATACAGAATAGAAATACAGAATAGAATAGAATAGAATAGAATAGAATAGAATAGAATAGAATAGAATAGAACATAGACTAGACTAGACTAGAACATCAAATGAATAGAACAGAATAGAAATACAGAATAGAAATACAGAATAGAATAGAATAAGAAATAAGAATAGAATAGAACATAGACTAGACTAGATTAGACTAGAATAGAATAGAACATAAAATGAATAGAATAGAACAGAATAGAAATACAGAATAGAAATACAGAATAGAATAGAATAGAATTATAGAATAGAAAATATGAAATGGAATACAACAGAAAATATGAAATAGAATAGAATATAATAGGAAAATATGAAATAGAATAGAATATAATAGGAAAATATGAAATAGAATATAGAATGGAATGGAGTAGAAAATATGGAATGGAATAAAATGGAATGGAATAGAAAATATGGAATGGAATAGAATAGAATAGAATGGAATAGAACATAGACTAGACTAGATTAGACTAGACTATAATAGTACATCAAATGAATAGAACAGAATAGAAATACAGAATAGAATAGAATAGAATACAATAGAATAGAATAGAACATAGATTAGACTAGACTAGAATAGAACATAAAATGAATAGAACAGAATAGAATAGAAATACAGAATAGAAATACAGAATAGAATAGAATAAGAAATAAGAATAGAATAGAACATAACTAGACTAGATTAGACTAAATAGAATAGAACATAAAATGAATAGAATAGAACAGAATAGAAATACAGAATAGAATAGAATAGAACAGAATAGAAAAGAAAATATGAAATGGAATACAACAGAAAATATGAAATAGAATAGAATAGAATAGGAAAATATGAAATAGAATAGAATAGAATAGAATGGAATGGAATAGAAAATATGGAATGGAATAGAATAGAATAGAATTAAGAATAGAATAGAATACAATAGAATAGACGCTGGAACCAGTAAGAGGGGTCCCTTAGAATTGGGGTCATTTAAAATTTGGAAATGAGGACTATTAAAACGTTAAATTTAAATATGAATGGAAAATTAAAATCGGGGCAAACCCACTAGGTCACTGATTGTCTAAAAAGATTGAATGTTAAAATAATGGAGATCTATAGATCAACCAAAAACTACTGATAAAGGTAAGAAAGTTATTTTTTTTATTTAATCGATCCAATAAGAATTG